TAACATCCAGTCCTGTATGGGACTGTTCCTTATATCAATAGATCTACCACTCTACACTGCTTTAAAGTATCAAGGGTTGCACTTGAGGTAAGAGACAGGAAGTAAGAGACACTCACTGAGTGAGTAAGTTTCAAGATAAATATTATTGTATTCATTATATTTGTTAATTGTGTTTGTATCTCCATTAACCCCTTCAGGGGTTTTGTAAACAAAACCTGGAATTTGCGCTATATGTCTGTTCAACCGTAATTCACCTCTTTCATATAAAGTGCACCCACACTTATTTATATATCATTTGGGCTTTAATTTCTCATGAACTATTCATATATGAAACAAAACTTATTATGAATAAAACAAATAAAATTGTAAGAAATTAAGATGCCCCACCTCCCCCCGCCCCCAGATTTTACAGTGTTTTGGAAGGTTACAGGGTTAAATATAGCACATTCCATTTTTCATTTTTTTTCACATTAAAATTTGACAGATTACTAATGTTAACTTTGAGACAGTGTGGTAACCCAGGAATGAGAATTACCCCCATGATGGCATACCATTTGCAAAAGTACACAAAAGCAAAAAACAAATATTTGGCCAGTGTTTGTGACTAAGTGGCTACTAAAAATGACTGGAAATACTCCATTTGCAATACCTTGGGTTATCTACTTTTGCAAATGGTATGCAATCATGGGGGTAATTCACATTCCTGGGCTACCATACACGGTCTCAAAGGCAACATTACCAAACTGGCAAATTTCGATGTAAAAAATAATGAAATACAAGCCATATATTTGACTCTCTAACTTTACAAACCACCATAAAACCTATACATGGGGGATACTGTTATACCTGGGAGACTTCACTGAACACAAATATAAGTGTTTCAAAACAGTAAAACATATTACAACAATAATATCGTTAGTAAAAGTGCAGTTCATGTGAAAAATGCAACAAACTTAAGTTTTACTAAAAATATCATAATTGTAATACAATTTATCATTTTGAAACACTACTATTTGTGTTCAGCGAAGTCTCCCGAGTAAAACAGTACCCTCCTTGTACAGGTTTTATGGTGTCTTGGAAAGTTACAGGGTTAAATATAGTGATTGCGAATTAAATTCTCTACACTTTCTGCCTAGGTTGTCAGGCATGTCTTTTTTTTTTGTAAATCTTATTTTATTGAAGAATAAGCAGTAAGAAATCAGAAAACGAGGCTCGCAGGCCTCCATGAAAAACATTGTGGCGAGTTATAACACAGACTATTTGTCAGTTTATTACAGTGTACGGTTAATGTGACTGCGAGACAGTGCTTAATTAATTACAGTGGTATAAGGCATTGCTGGTGTATATTCGGCTTGTGCAGATACGGCATATGAGTTTTTACCCGATGGTCAGTCTCAGGCCGAATTCTTCCCTGGTGTCCACACCCCCATGTCTAGGCGAGGTGAGCGATGAGTGGGTACGTATTGTTTGGGTTTTGTCATGTTCTGTTGTAATGGCTTGTGGAGTGTATTCAGGGGGATGTAGTGTGGTCCTTTTCCATGTTACTGTCTTCGTTATGGAAATGTCTGGGATCTAGTCTAATATGTTGTGTTGGGCCCCCCCCGCTATGTGTCGAACCTCTGGTTGTCCGTTTATGTGGTGTTTTCTGTGGCCCGTGTTGGGAGTCATGACGTGTGTTAACCTGGTTGTACGGGCCTTGAGTAGGATTACATGACACCCCATTGTCGATTGTCTA